TAGATTAATACACTGACTAATGCATATCATTATATTGAGTGGTTTTTCTCTACTGATGTACTTTTGGATTGTGAACGAAATGTATCACGATTTGGTTATTACTGTAACATAGTTTTTGGCTGAATGGTCTTTAACTTTTTCTTCGGACAAGTCAGCTACTACTCCTGTATGCCAGGATCTATAACAGATCAACTATAAAACGATCGAGACACCGATGACAGTGCGTCCCAGAGACATGAAAGACTTCAGAATTATTAAATGCTACTTCCGCGCGGTTTCACACGCTCTGCTCAGCTCTTATTGGTCGTAGCGTGATGTTTTATAGCCTATAGCCATCCTCGATAAATGCACTATCCAACACAAGAATAATTATTCAAATCAGACTTGTAGTTACGGAGATTAGCGCGTTCAAACAAACAAACAAACTCTTCCGCTTTATGTAATAGTATAAGATTATTCTTCAAATCAGAAGATATCATTGTGTCAGAAAGAAAAAGGGTTCGGACTTTTGTACCATTTCTTCAATTACTATGTTTCACTTTCAAGTATATAAATATATGCTATGAAAAGTATAATAAAGATGAAAATAGTTAATGAAAATCAAACAATTATAATATTGTATTTACTCTTCAAAATCATGTAGGTATAGTCAAGTTAAACTATGAGAATGCTTGTTCGTATGTTTGTAGGTATGTTAAACGGTCAGAGATAGTAAAACCGTAAGTTATGCTTAAAGCGCTATTATTTAGCAATAATGATTGTATTATTTGCTTTTATGGGAAAACTTCCTGCCTCGCACAGCAAAACTGTGGAATGATCTGTCGTCGGTGGTATTTCCGAACCGATACGACCTTCAAACCTTCAAGAAAAGAGCGTATTCCTTTTTAAAAGGCCGGCAACGCACCTGTGTCTCTTCTGGTGTTGCGGGTGTCCAAGGGCGGCGCTGATTGCTTACCATCAGGTGATCCGTCTGCTCGTTTGCCTCCCATTCCACAAAAAAAAAACAGAAACACCTATATAAATGAGAACTATTTTTAGTAAATGCGTCCTCATTTAACATTTTGTCAAATTTCGATAACTCATAAGATTATGTTGACATTGTAATCTGAAAAAATAATACATCAAAATAAGTATGTCAAATAATTCTTATGGGTTCTATTCTACCAATTATAATACTATATATATAATACCACTTTCGTTTGATATCCATAATGGAGGTAGTTGTGAAAAAAATTGATTATAATATTGTGTGGTCATCAAGATTAAGAGTATGTACCAAATATTAGACCGATCTATCGTCAAAGTGGTACAATTCCAATTTTAAATTTGACTCAAACAAGCCAACGGGGCATGCGCTAAATAAAACTGTACTTATTAGAATTATGCAGTCAAGCCTCATTGGCCGAGTGGTCGCAAATGCAACTACCAGGCAAGGGGTCTCAGGGTCGATTCCCGGGTCGGGCAAAGTATTACTGGATTTTTTAAAATAAAATTCTCAGTAGTAGCACGGAGTCTGGAACTGTGCCCGGTATATGGCAATAGGCTCACCCCCTATTACATGGGACTCATAACATAAATAGTGAAAAGTGGATGTTGCATTTTACAGTGGTATAATGTGCACCCCTTCGAGGATAAAAGGCGTGATGTTATGATGATTATGATAATGCAGTCAAACTATATATTGTTAGTTTTTATAGAAAACTTTAAGGGCCTCGACCTGGTCTGAAGCCTGAAGTCCTAGGTTTAGAATGACAGCCTGGTCATAATGTATTCAGCAGCTCATTAACATGACAGGTCGCAGGCTTTATGTATACAGGTCACTAGAATTAGGGCGACATGCATAACATATCATATCTCTTTTTATTCCATGGAGGGGTAGGTTCATGTACTTGTTAATTTGTATAGAGTGCGACTGCCAGACAAGGTCTCGGGTTCGATTCCTGGGTCGGCCAAAGTATTACTGGATTCTTTAAAATACAATTCTCAGCAGTAGCACGGAGTCTGGAATTGTGCCCGGTATATGACAATAGGCTCACCCCCTATTACATGGGACTCGTAACATAAATAGTGAAAAGTGGGTGTTACATTGGCAGTGGCATTAGTTGCCGTAATTTGCCTAGGTCTTCGGAGATAAAAGGCGTGATGTTATGTTACGATATTAGGTCAGAATTCAAAACTATAAGCAGTGTACAGTAATAGAATCACTTCCCATTGCTGCCTGATTACCAAAATGGTGAAAAATATTTAATTCCTCTTCTTTTTCTTCAGATAAATACAGGGCACCTTTTGTGTCAAAAACAAAAGGTATCCTCATCATCATTATCACCATGAAGCGACCTTAAGAGTCCACTTACTTATGTGCTACTACAAAAGAGTGTGTCGTAGAAATCAATTGACGGAAATTAAAAAAAATATTGACATTCATTAAAGTTTCGATCACCCTGTATATCATCTGACCCATCTTCTCAAGCTGACTATAGCCTGCGATAAATGATTATAATCTTAAAACATAAGATTACGTAACAATCATTACCGGGGTCTTATCTATCAGATAGTTAACCTTCCCGATAATTTTTGTTAAATTTTTATTTATGCCTCTAGGGCATATCCCTATATATATAGTGGCTATCTTGTAGTGCCTTGCTTAGGCACTTATTGGACACCCACTTTTCACTATTTATGTTATTCTGAGTCTTATTATGATACGTGGAGAGTTTATTACTATACTCTGGATGGTATTTTAAATTTAATACTTTTATATCCTATAATTTTAGGGGCTGAAATCGTCTGAATCTGTTTTTCTGACCAGGGGATCGAATCCGGCAGTCACTGTTACGCTCATTGGTATTACAATAACAAACTACAACTGGGAAATGTAGACTCACTTTGTCCAGCTTGGAGATCGAACCTCGACAGCCTTGCTTACAGCCACTCGACTAAGGATCAGGCATAATCTTCGCTCGACGGTTATTGAACTTATTCTCAGATGTCATTCATCTTTAACATTTTTTTTTTGTATTTCATATATAAAACCAGTATAAAGTAGAGTGTAATATTTACAAATCAGGTTGTTAGACAGTAGTGTTCTACAAGAACAATGAGAAGAGAATTGTATCGACAATAAATCATCAAAATCACCAACCCCCACAGTACCACCCCCAACGAAAACTTCCTCCATTTTTAGTTGAAATACTACACCAACCTACAGTCATAGATACGCGTTGAAGTCTTTTCAACAAAAACAAAAAAAAAATAAAAAAAACAACAAGTTGGTCCCCGAGAACCTCTCCTCAGAATCTCATTACTGATCCTATATTCAGAGCAATGATGAAAAATGTCGGCTGAAAAAAAAGGATTACATTTGCAAATCCCACATCAGATTTTTAGATGCGAACGTGCAGTATGCATGGGGAGAGTACATACTCGTATCTATCATTCATTAGCAGCACAGCTAGAATCCAATACGACATTTTTTACAATCCCCGGGCACAAAGAACGGGCGGCCATCCCCACACTAGCAAACAGCCCCGTACAAACAAACGGCGCCGATGTATGAGTAATAAAAACTTGAAAAAAATCCCACTGACCCGCACACACGCGCGCGAACCGCGAAAAAAATCACCGACACAAAGAAAGTCCACCGAAAACTTGTATAGGAACTTTTGCACACACACAACCACGCGACGCGCACACACCGCCGCGTACAAGGAAGTTGCAGCTGTGTGCGTGAGTGCAGCCCATACGTACGAGGGCTAAACTTAGCTTAGTATGCGTGTAGTTGTGTCTCACAGTTGCAAGAGACCAAAACTTCGGTTGTGTTAGGTTTCGCGGAAAATCCTTGATTCATCAGATCCTGATATCGACTCTATCTCGTGTAAATTAAGTTTAGATTCAACTGCTCATAGCTGCAGTTGCTACGTTTTTCCTTGGAACAAGAGCTGCGCACCGCGGGTAGTTTTCGTATGAAACTTAGTGGCGCGAGATGCACCAACTGAGACGGAAACAAGAGAGTCTGTTGTTGTCTCTGTCGCACGCCACCCGCCGCCCGGGGCGCGGGGGCGCGGAGGGTGGCGGGAGGGTGTCGTGTCGCGTTGATGAACATTTTTTTCTCATTTTTTTCTTTATTTTTACGCGAATCGTTTTTAAAAAGGGTTTCGTCATAATTGCGTCGCCGCTCCTGATTATGTTAGCGCGAATGATAAGCCGATCTGTTGGCGTGGCAACAAAAGTACTTCACTAATTACAATCAGCGATCCGCCAAATCTTGAATCACATATTTATATAGAAAAAGTCAAAATACAACCTTTGGCTTAAGTTGATAAATTGCAAACGATAATAAAATCAATTCAATTTGCATAACTAGAATATAATATTTAAAAAATGCTAATCAAGTAATTAATTAAATAATTCGTTTTCATAATATAAAGTACTGTAAAAAACTGCATGCATAGGCTAGACACATAGACAAATAGTCGAACATCTGTTTAGAAAAAGGAAAAACGGATGAATGGAACAAAAAAGCTGTAAAAACCTTGTAAGACGTAAGGTTAGTAGTAAAAAAAAACCACATGTAAACATTGCGTTACGTACGCATGTCTCGAGTGGATCGTCTCGGCGGGAAACTTATTTTCCCGCGTTTTCTCCGACGCCGCCATATTTGTTTTTGTTATTGCTAATGTGAATCTAGTTGGAATTTGCAATTTTTTTCATTCTTATTTGAATTTTTTTTACATATTACTCAATTTATCGATTAATCTGCATAAACGAGCTTATTTAAGTGCAAAGCTTTTTGTTTTGCTCCAACATTTTCAAAAGATTAATCAAAAGAAAAAAAACGAAACTAAAAACATTGAAACATCACTATCGTTTCAGTGTAAACAGTATAATAGATAAACATAAACACAATCAAATAATCGGATAATCCGAACTTATTTCAGCCGCATCCTCCGCGTAGAAGGGAAACAAAAAAAAGCATGTTGTCGGGCCCAGTCTCGCAGCAGCAGCGGCGCGGACCGGCCGCATCCAAAACGTTTCTATTATTTTACATTACGTGTTTCATTTCGCGTAGACTTTTGGACAGCGGTAGTATGCGGCGCGATAGTGCAACAAATTTGTGACTTTGGACATTAAAAAAAAATGGAACATCGTGACTTTTTCGACAAAAACAAGAATCATTTTTACCGGCAAAAAAATAATATTTCATAACCGCAACTTTACGCAGTTCAAACTAGATTTTTTTTTCACTGGTTTCTTCAAGTTTTTCTTTTCGCAATTACACAAACAAACATACTAAATGCAGTTCAATAAGTTTGAGTTTACGTACGTTTTGTTTTGTTTGAAACTTTAACAAGATAGGCAACAAACTGTATTAGCGACAGACGGAAGAAGAGAAGAGAAGAGAAGATGGCGCTCGCATCTTCTGTCAGCCTGTATTACTCCATAGTGCAGAGAGCTGCTAGGCACTACCTGGAAGATTATTGTCACACAGGTAAGATTCCAATAAGAATATCTATTCCATTTCAGATTTTCAGTCCTGAAATTATCTTACGTCCACTTGTAATATAAGTTCTGAAACAAGACGTTTCTAACAGAATCTTTAATATTATAGCAATATAAAACGACTTATTAATTAATTAATTAATAATTAATATTCAGGAAATAATAAAACGTTGTTAAATATATTAAATAGGTAACTATTTTGCCGTCGGCTAGGCAATTAGCCATTAGGAACTATTTTTAATATTGCATTATTATTTCAGTAAACTTTTAGCGCATTGATATCTATCTAATAATATAACAATGAATAGAATATAAATTGAGAAATTATTAAAAAAAAATAAGATATTGTATTTTTGTATTCGTCATAAATTGCAAAGAATACAAACAGTATTCTTTTAAGCATTAAATAAAAATATGATGTATCCAATGCGGAATGGTAGTTGATGAGCTTAAAGCTCATTTTTACAGAACTTTAACTTAAAAAAAACGTATCGTAAAATATAGTAGTAGAGAAAAATAGTACGTAGAGCAATATTATATTAATTTATTTCGATATTTTAACTTAATAAAATTAAAAACATAATTGGATTTGTGTTGCTATTTAAAAAAAATATTCATAATACCACTGAATACAATGACATTAAATCATTGGACTTGCAACTAACATCAAAATATAAAAAATAATTTATCGTTACTTAAAAGAATAATAAGAATTCTTCATAGGATTGATATTATCTTTAGTATATGTATGTGGAGTATATTATAACTACAGTCTAGCCTCATTCTACCGTATTTATGAAGCATCAACAGCCTATAAGTGCCCACTGCTGACCGAAGGCCTCTTCTCACACGGAGAAGGTTTAAGCATTAATCGCCACGCTTGCTCAATGGGGGTTGGTGATTTCAAACTTAATAGAAATTAAAAGCTTAGGTTTCCTCGCGATGTTTTCCTTTGCCGTCTGTCAGTGATGTCTAAATAATCTTAGAAAGTACCTAAAACTCGGAAAATGTTACATTGGTACTTGCAGTTGGTAGGTTAATATTTATGAATAGTTTTATTTTTAAAGTGTGAAATAGTTTTTTTTAAATTCATACTTAATTGGTAATTTACACGACATTGAAAATTGAAAAGACATTTTATTGGTATTCATCTAATATAACGTTGGAGAGAGGGGGGTCTCGGCAAATATCACGTAATTTTTATTCTGATAGAAACAAAAAGAAAATATACTATTTTTATTCAAAAGTATAATGGATGACTTCAAGGATCAGATGTTTTTTATCTATGCCTGAATTAAGCACATTAATGGTAGACATAATACCAATAAAGAAACAAACAATAATGTATTCTTATTCTATAGGTGCATTACGGAAACATTTCAATTAATACCTACACAAAATAACATAGACAATTTTTCATTTCATTTTAATAACAAAATGACATTAATACAATAATTTCATTAAAATATTATCTTCTCACTGTAACACTAGAAAACAATTAAATGATTATAACAGCCATTTTGTTGTTTTTTTACAAAAAAATCTCAAAAAATAATAAAACTACTCAGAATACGTATATGTTAATTAAAAATTCACCTTTTTGTTAGAATAATATTATTACATTGCATTTAATTTTTATTGTATAATTGTGTGCAATGTAAAACTATTATTATTATTATTTGAATTAATTAACTAACATAATAATTAGGCGTTAATTTTTGCGGCTATTATTATTCACTCGTAGGTACTCATTTTAAACCCCAATCGTATCTACTTAATAAATCATTGTATTAGATTATTAAATATAAGCTTTGTAATAATTAAAATGAAATGAAAAATTACTATATTTTCTTTATGTAATGAAGATGAAAAATATTATAAGGAAACCTAGTCTCATGATATCAAAATTGTCAATCTGCCGTAAAACGAAAAGTGTTACAGAAAGATGAAAATGAAATGAAAACTAACACTATTGTACATACGTTAGAAATTATTACTTTTGTGTACTAAATTAATTACTACGTTTTTCGACTTACTCACGTAATTATTTGACGAGGAACTCGACTAGTTTCAAGCCATGCTAGAGGCTCATATTAGCAGTGCGACATTCGCCACGTCGTCGGTCGCGAAATACTGCTCATGAATATGAGCCTCTAGCATGGCTTGAAACTAGTCGAGTTCCTTAATTACATGAATTAGTGAAACAATGTAATAATTAACAATAATTAGAAACTACAAGGCTTCACCATTGAGCTTCTAATCCGTACATATTTTTTGGCTTCTATCACAATTCTGCATCTGATCATACCAGTAAGCTCACTGCCTTACTTTGTTTTTTTTTTGATAAGCCGGCATACGATCACACGGATCGCCTAATAGTGAACAATCAGCGCCGCCCATGGACACCCAAATCACCAGTGGTGTTAAAAGTGCTTAGCCGATCATTTTGTGGTTAGAAATTTGAGGATTGATGATGAGGGAATTCAGGAATTAGGGACGATTAAGGAGGCATTTTTCTAAATAATCTTATGAGACTATATCCACTTTTCACTATTTATGTTACGAGTCCCATGTAATAGCAGGTGAGCCTATTGCCACATACCGGGCACAATTCCAGACTCCGTGCTACCACTGAGAATTTTTTAAAAACCCAGTTGTACTTTGCCCGACCCGGGAATCGAACCAGAGACCCCTTGCTCGTCAGTCGCACTTGCGACCACTCGGCCAACGAGGCAATCAGAAGAATATTGATTACACGGAAAAATCTGCCGGTTTTGCACTATTCAAGAATAATAATTGCAGAATAAAAAGTTACATCAAGACCCTATCATCATGATAAAAATAATTATTCATAATATGCAATTAAATTCATTAAACGATCTTATCATTATGTAAATAATTACAATTTATAAAATATCCTTCATTTTTTGAAAAGATAACCTTCAAAATTTGTGCACGTTAACGCAGTTTTGACGTCTTGCAACACTGACTGATGTAACACCTTTTTGCTATCATCATTTACCTAAGTACCTACGTCACGGGGCACGTGTAAAGAAACACCATCGAGGTTGCAATCATTATGGTCCTGTTTCACTTGACAAGTTCCATCACCATCTTTAGATGATTTCTGTTCACGGCTATAACCCTGAACAGAAATTATCAATTATAAAAGTGTGAGAGAGCCATGCTTCAGCACCAATGGGCCGGCTCGACCGGAGTGATGATACCACGGCCTCACAGGAAACCGACGTGAAGCAACGCTTGCGTTGTGTTTCGTCGTGTCAGTGAGGTTACCGGAGACCCAATTACCCTCCCCTTCCCCCAATCTCCCCAATTCCTGAATCCCCAACGATCCTCAAACTCCTAATCCCCAAAAAGCCGGTGACGCACTTGTAGCGCATCTGGTGTTCCAGGTGTCCATGGGCGACGCCGATTGCTTACCATCAGGTGACCCGTCTGCTAGTTTACCGGCTTACACCATAAAAAAAAAATAACCAGCCCATATTGGCTGCCCAAATTCTAATAAGAAAATAATATGATCTCTTATCTTGACTCTCCTTATTCACCTACTTACCTTGCTTCTTACTTCCAATATACGTGCGCAAACCACACAAAATTTCTTCGTTCGTCTCAAAATCGACATCTTCAATGTATCTCTCATCGCACTGACTTCTTTCATTCTTCCTTTTTCATTCAAGCTGTTATTTTGTGGAATGCATTGCCCAAGGAGATCAGAATGGCAACAAGTCGCAATTCCTTTAAATTTAAAGTCCGTGAGCATTTACTTAAGCATTGGCAGACTCAAAACAATTGAGGAAACTATTCTGACAACGTTTTTTTTTTTATATATATATATATAATATATTGTAGTATTTATGCAGTAGGTATAAGTATTTGTTTAGTAGTATGTATTATATGGTATGTATATGTCCTATACTGATTTATAAAATATTGTATTAATATATTTATTCTATAGGTTATTTATGTGTGTAGTATACATATTACATAACTCTTTTTTATTTTCTCAATTGTGTTCTGGCTTCGCATCAACCACTTCATTTCTCTGCACTTCCCTATGGTTGACTGTAAGAGAATGCCTTAAGGCATTAAGTCCGCCATTCACTTATGTATTTGTGAAGAAGAAAATAAATAAATAAATAAATATGAGAACGTTGATAAAAAGACAAACGTAATGTCACTTAGAAATGATTGAAGCACCAAAATGTCAGTGGTGTATCTATGTGTGCGTGTACTTGCAACACCGTAATGTATGAAGTGTAACGACGGGCCATGTCACGCGACAGATGTCCTTCGTGTCAATGTGTGTGTATTCTGCGTGTAAGTCTATAGTAGCCGGGTGTCACAGTCGTTGTTTGAGGATACTGTGTTGGTCTTTATTTCAACGTCCTTGATAACTAACTTTGATATCTTATGTCATCAAGGGATTTTTAAATAAAATAAAAATCTTAACATACCTTATTTGCGTTGACCTACCGATATTTTTCGTCTGTTGGTAATGCTAGCTTTTCGGCATAAAACATGCATAATTTTTAATAAAACATTTTTTTTTACTTACGACCAACTGACTACGGTAACAACTATACCAACGTACCAATTCACGATTTGCTCGAATTATTATTTATCAATAAACAATAATAATAATAATGGCAATTGCTTTATAGACGACGAAAGTTTTTGTTTTGTTCATAATAATTATTCAACCGTTTCCGTAACTTCTGAGTTGGTCTAACTTGGCGAAAATAGTCGATTTTCATATCATAACATCACGCTACCTACTTATTTCATGAGGAAGTAAACAGAGACATAAATACTACAGCGGAAAGAATGGGTTTGTCACATTGAGAGGTCGATCAAAATTTACTAATATTATTTTTTACTTAAAGAGAGAGAATTTTATTATGGTCGTTTCCATCGACCACCTCTAAACTATCACCCAACTAAAAGTTACTTAGCTTGACGTAGCACCTA